ATCTGTTTATCTTTTTCAGTTCATCAACCTTAACATTTCTGTCTTCCGCGTTCTCTCAATCCGATTCATACGAGCTCAACCATCGCTCCGAAATCCTTTCCAAATGTGCCTATACACACGCAAAACCGGGCCTCCACCCCATTTCCATGCACGGACACAGAGTGACCGCTACGCAGGGAACATGAAACCTGCAGCGCAGAATGACCCTTCTGTTGCAGTTTGACATCGTAGGGGTGAGTCTGACGTTTTCTGTCTAGCAGCCCTGACTGATAAACCGATTATTTTTTAGTCCCTTCCCACAGAACTGTCTCTTCTCATCTTCACGCATCTTCCAGCAGCTTCCTCGCTCGCTTGTTCTCTTGTTTCTAAACGTTGGCACACTCTCACAACAGACCAAGTACTTTGACGCACAGTTGGGAATGGTGCATGGACATTACTGCGCTCACCCCTTGGGATGGACTTGGCGATGCAGATCCTGTGGATGCAGTTGTTCGCAAAGAAAGGGATGAAGATGAGGGTATGGGCAATGAAGAGGAGGATGAGGATGAAGGGAGTGGTGAAGGCACAGGAGATGTCATCGATTTCATAGGGGACGACTCGGTGGACTGGACGTCAATGCCAATGAACATCGACGGCATTGAAGCACAAGGTTTATCCCATCTCCTCATACCTATCACTTCAGCTGCGTTATCTTCCTCTTCGACAAGCATCATCACTCCAATATCCCATATCACACCACAGCATGGCATTTTACCACGAAGTGCGCATCTTGCACCCTTCTCCACCAGACGCACATGCTACTACACAATTGTTTCTGCCAGGGCGCATATCGTAGCCGTATGCTGCCTGGCGCAGATGCCAGTGGACACAGCGCTGCAGTGTATTGTCTCTGGTTATGGACATATCCAGCGACTTGATGGTCGGTTCGCACCCCTGCAGGTGCTATTTATGAGATTGAAGGACTGCACTTGTTCGGGAGTAGGATTTGCGCACGGACTGCGTACGGCACGTGGTCGGTGAATTGATTCTAGTGTCTTAAGCTTATGCGTATCTTCCGACTTTGCGAAGTTGGGAAATGGAGAGGAGGCTTTGGTGAGCGAGCCTAGTAGGGCTGGTTTTCTGGTCAGTGGAGGGAGTTATAGGCGCATCGTTGTTTGGGATCTTGGCAAGGACAGGCTGGTCAAGGTGCTGCAAGATCATCTTGACAGTGTGCTGTGTGTTCGTGTTGATAGTTGGAGGCTGGTGACGTGTTCCAAAGGTTTGCTTGATCTACAGCTTTATCTATCGATTGACTAAATATTTACTTTCCAAGACCGGACTGTCAAAACATATCGTGCGAAGCGTTGCTCTTGGGGAGGAGTTTGCCGTCAGTGGGAGCTATGATTTAACCATTAAGGTATGTTGGATGCAATCACGGGGAACAAACGAGACTCATGACATTATGTTGACACAGGTGTGGGATAGGAAGACAGGGGCGCTGGTGGCTGACATGAGGAAGGATATTTTGTGTAGGTTTTGATTGTACCAAGGTCCGTGATTTCTAATTGTATTTTAACTTGATTGAATCCTAAACTATGCAGATTGTTTCGTGCAGGGAGATCAGGTGAGGTGTATGCTTCTCAGTATTAGCCTAAAAGCTGAAAGTGCACCTTGCAGAGGATCTGTATTTGGGATTTCTCACATGGAATTGATACATCTTTCATCAAACTGTAGCTCTAGAACCATGCGATGCCCTGTATTTTGGAAAGCCTCCTCCTTGTAGATTGCTTATTGGTTGGTGCTGCCAAAGCCTGAAATGCTGTAAGTACAGGGCGTTGTAGGCAGGCGATTGCCTACTAGCTACGACTTGTATGATGTCAAGCGACGTCATTAATATTTAATGTTTGCTCCCTTTTCGAACAACTGTGTGCTTACCGGGGTAACTGTTACCGATAACACGAATTTACAACCGCTGTAAAACGCTCGACATGAATGAGGACATGTAGGAAATGGCCGGTCTATGTTAAATCTGCGCGGACTCCGCGTCACTGTGACTTGTATCGCGCAGACTGGCCAAATCCCGCACTTTCTGAGAAAAGACAATAAAATGAATATTACTATTGTTCCTCGTCCTCCTCAGCTTCAATTTCATCTCGCCTCCGTTTCTGACTCCTTACAGAGGCTAGAAGGTCCTCTATATCCAGAAGATCACTTCTGCCCAGGCTCCAATACAGAGAAAGGCCAGAATTGTTGATGGTGCGAGTCGGTTGCTCATATGTACTTGCCATTGGGTTGTCGTCGTCACTGGTGAGTGAATTGATCAATGGTGTCTGGGTTTCGATCGAGCAGACTGGGACTGCTTGACCTTCTTCAAGAGGTGGGCCCACCAAACACCGCCAACCCGCGGTAAAGGGTCGGGGTATGCCCAAGGGTGCGACTATCCTACACCGTACACATACTACCCATCAAACCCATCAGCATAGCACCGCGGTACCCGTGCGTCTCCCCCTATGCGTGCTAGGATATCATGACTAACGATAATCCTAAATGAACTTTGTCTGTCTAATAAGTGTTGCAGTACTCTAACTCATTGAGTGCACTATTGACAGTACTTGGACCGAGCAACAGCAAGGTTTCCTGATGCAGCAGCCTTTTGCTCGATTAGCCTGTTCAGCTTTCGATAATGTTCCAGCATAATATTGGTCCGGCCAATCAACAGCGGGTGCTTCCAAATGCAACCCACGTTCATTTACAATAATCCTCATCGCAAACATGCAGTAGTAGGTGCCTGTCTCCCTCCTTGTTCTATTTTCACCAAGGCATTGTCCACCTAGCCATCCTTCCAACTTACTAGATGGATGAAAACAATCCTCCTCAGAAGAAGCGCTGGGAATGGTTGAAGCCACATTCAGACCCACATTCGGTAGAGGACAGAGGCAGGAAGGCAGCCAGTCAAGATGTATGCACTTTTGTCTTAGAACTTCACATTGTTTCTAATCATCACAGCTGTTCTCTCTCTCGCCTTCGAGGGATGGGTCTAGTGGATGATCATCGGGTCCCCCAACCCTGAACCCACACAGTTCAACAAGGCATGTCCAATTTCAATTCTAAGCATGCCCAGGGAGCGTGCCATTTTTTGCTACTAATCACCTCTGCAGGATCTCACCCCTTCCCCTTCTGAAGCAAATCGCGAGCAGTCTTCCAATTCAGGGATTGTAGAGGTAAGTTCGACCAACGAAGTTCACAATATTATTCATCTCTTTCGACAACGTGCTGACGTCTCTACTTAGGCCGAACATCTCGACCCGAAGGTTGTGAATGAAAGAATCACCAATGCTACCAAAGGTGTCGCAGGCATTGGCCAGGTCCCAACAATAGTCAAAGATACTTCTTCCACGATCAAAAATCTACCATCTGTGTCTGATACAATCAACTTGTTCTCCGCGTTGCTTAGACCATTGAAGGCATTTGACTCCATTGCCAATGAAATCGCAAATGTAAGTCATCTATATCTTTTCGGTACGTGATTGACATTCACACACAGGTACATCCCTACGCGAAGGTGGCACTGAGTATCTTCACTTGCGCGTCCAAGGTAGGCTTCTTTCTCGATCATTGCCGTTGCAGATCGACGAATTCTTGGTTACAGATGATTCTCGATCAGGCAGACCGCGATGTCGCAGTTTCTAGTCTACTCTCGAAGATATCTGAAGTCTATACTTTCATCACAGAAGGGGAGGAATTGGCCAAGATCCAATCAATGTTAGCGATATATGGGAAGATAGCGCAGCAGATGCTGGAGTGCGCTGATTTTATCAGCCATTACTCCGAGATGAAGAGCGCCTGTGAGTTGATCCCACTGCTTCGTCCCTTGGGACTCAATGTTACCTTTTTTATAGGGATAAGACTCGGCAAGCATGTTTTTGGCGAAATGGACGCAACGATTCAGAGCTATAGCAATGTTCTCGACAGTCTCATGCAGCAATTCTGAGACCGAGCGGCTCGCGACATTGTCATGATCGTCCACCGTATGGGTAAGAGATGCTTTCGGGTATATTTGAGCCTTATCTGACATTCCACGACTCCTGGTGTAGCTGAGAGTCTGGACCTCACAGGGATGGAGTATGCAACAAGTGCTGGATTGAATACGTCTAAATGCTGTTTGCAAAATACTCGGCAAGTGTTACGTCGACTGTTGGTCGGCGTGTGCGAACTAGGATGGGTCTTCTCAGCGACGACTCGAGTGAGTCTACTGAAGCTGAGCGTGGTCTGGCCTTGACGGAACGTCAAGGATTCCTCCGGCGATCTCGGTAAGACGGCGCTCGTCGAGATGCAGGGCTAGCGGATACGTGCTAAGTCGTATGGGGGCGACTTAGAAGTGCAGTCTCACACAAGGAAGCTGGTAAGGCTTAGATGAGCAAGTTCTGGGGATGAACCTAGTAGATTAAAGTAAAGTCTAAGTACAATAATCTGTGTCTACTTATAGGGAAGTACTACAAGTATTCTAGCTCAGTCTGTAATCAATAGTATATCGTAAATCTATGATAGCAAGACATGAGGTGTAGATAAGTACATGAGGCTTAACCTCTGATCAAGCATGCTGCGCCAAGGGCAGCTGCGCATAGGTACAGGAAGCGCCGAGCGCGCTCCGGATCTTCATGAAGCGACATGTGGTATGCATGCGCTGATCTAGGGTGTCCATGAGGCGTACAGCCTCCATGGATCAGGTACACGGCCATCTAGGCCAGGGGCGGGGTCATAGCGCCAGGGGCGGGGTCACAGCGGTCCAGACCACAGGTGTAGGCAGAGCTGGGGCTCCAGTAGGTGTTACAGATGCCTGTAACAGCAAGACCTTCTGAAGGACATTCAGAGTTGGATCAGCAGCACCGAGGAGGGCGCTCCACGCATCTTATGGCTGTCTGGCACAGCAGGCAAGGGTAAATCGGCTGTTGCCCATACAATAGCCAACTGGTATATCGAAAACGGTGGTCTTGGCTCATTCTTCTACTTCGATCGCACTCGGCAAGTGGATCGCCGTCAGGACAAAATATTTACGACTATTGCAAGGGATTTGAACGTGTCTGTTGGATAATATGTATGTATGCATCTTGGAAGAAATCATGCCGGAGGACGAGCGCAAGGAAGCTATCCCGGTGTTTTTCTCAGTGATGGGACAAGTCCTTGCTTTGTTGGAACCACTTCCCATGCCTGCATTGACGGCTGTGCAACTGCATTTTCCTGAAGGGACTTGTGATTATGAAATAGAACAGGTCCTTGGGCCATTGGGGTCCCTTTTGACGGGCACTTCGGATTCCGATACTCCCATACGTCCCCTCCATGCGTCCTTCTACGACTTTCTCACTGAGGAATGGCGGAGCCATGACTTCTTCATTGATACATCATTGGTACAGAGTGACCTCGCATTTGCCTCACTTCGGGTCATGAAGGACAGACTTCGCTTCAACATTTGCTCTTTAGAGAATTCTCACCTACCCAACTCTTTCATCCCTGATTTGGAGACATGGGTCAAGAACTCTATTTCAAGGCAGCTATCATACTCCTGTCGATTCTGGGGTATGCATGCAGCAGCCGTATCCTTCGAATCATCGCTAGCCAATGAAGTTGAGGGTTTCTTCGACGGAGAGCGCCTTCTTTGGTGGTTGGAAGTACTGTCTCTGACAAAAAACCTCGGTGGCTCAGTAGTGACCCTCTCATCTATCACAAAGTGGTTTTCGGTAAGTAGCCCAGGCTCATTCTTTTCCCAATGAATTCTCATGAGTAGCGGGGTGGTCGTAGGGTCATGCCGAGTTCACGCACATTAGTGACGCCACCAAGGATACCCTGTGTTTCGTCTGAACTTTTGCAGCCCCCATCTTACGCAGCACTCCTCATCTATACCTGTCAGCTCTGCCATTCGCTCCTATGCAGTCGAGAATGTTCCACAAGTTCGCCTCAAAGTTTCCTTGCACCCCACACATCGTCGCTGGCCATGTCGAAAATTGGCCTTTGATGGAGAAGATACTCTGCGCAGATGACGGGGTTTACTCGGTTGCACTGTCACCAGATGGAAAACGTGTTGCGTGTGGTTTAGGTGATGTTACGACACACGGTCGTGTGTGACTAGGATGATCTAAACAGCGACAACCACGACAGTGGTACCGAGTGCTGAGAGTCGTCGGCCTTTACAGACAAGCAAAGGTTGCGTACTCGAACATAGCTCGTGGTGGTTAACGAGGGGTTACGCTGAGATGATAGCGGTTTACAGACAGTGAGAGGCGTCACTGAAGGCACGAGTCGATGTTGAGCAGGTAGCTTTAGCGGGACAAGGAGTTCAAGGGTAAACCTAGTAAGATTAAAGTAAGGAACATCTACTTTAATCTTCGACCTTATATAAGGCTACTCTTCGTATCTAAGCTCAGCCTAAAGCTGTGTTCTAATCTGCTTATCTACATGAGTCAGAGATAGCATCCATGAGGCAGGCTTCTATCATAGATAGGATCCATGAGGCATCCTTCTTGTCAGTACATGAGGCAGCACGAGGCTTGCCTTCTATCAGTACATGAGGCAGCATGAGGCTTGCCTTCTATCTTGATAACATGAATAGGTCTTCTAGACCTATGTCGTCATGTGTCGTCATATGCGGTCCAGACCGCTTATCTAAGCCGGCAGTTGCCGCTTATCATCTGTCATCATCTATTGTCATCTATCATCATAGGGCTGGTGAGACCCTGGTATCGTCTATAGCCGTGCAGTGGCAGAGGGCTGTCTGCTGGCAGGGGACTCATGCCATGTTACTGTAACAGGTGACGGAACGATCCAGTTGTGGGATATGGATACTGGTGAGGCATTGTGCGCCCCTCTTCTGGGTCACACTAGGAGTGTTAACTCCGTTGTATTCTCGCCCGATGGACATTGCATCGTTTCAGGTTCGGATGACAACACAGTCCGGGTGTGGGATGCGAAGACTGGCGAGGCATTAGAATCTCCCCTCCAAGGCCATACTCACTGGGTTGCATCTGTCGCAATCTCGCCGGATGGTAAACACATCTTGTCTGGTTCGTGGGATAAGACAATTTGGATGTGGGACATGGAGACTGGTGAGGCGTTTGGTGCCCCACTCCAAGGCCACACGGACATCGTTTACTCTATTGCAATCTCACTGGATGGAAAACGCCTCATGTCTGGGTCGGCAGACAACACCATTTGGGTGTGGGATATGATGACCGGCAAGGCATTGATCCCCCCTCTTGAAGGCCACATTGGAGGTGTTTCATGTGTTGCAATCTCGCCTGATAGCAAACACATTGTGTCTGGGTCAGAAGACTATACGATTCGGGTGTGGGACATAGAGACTGGTGAGGAATTCGATATCCTCCTCAAAGGCCACACTGAGTGAGTTTCGTGTGTTGCAATCTCGCCGGATGGTAAACACATCGTGTCTGGTTCATTTGACCAAACCATCCGAGCATGGGATGCAAAGACTGGCGAGGCAATAGGATCCCCTCTCCAAGGCCACACTTCCCAGGTTGACTCTGTCACAATCGCGCCGGATGGAAATCACATAGTCTCTGGTTCATATGACAAGACAATTTGGATGTGGGATGCCGACATCATTATGGACAAGGCATCGGTTGCTGCCCTCGAATGCCATACTGACCATGTTAATTCTGTTGCAATCTTGCCCGATGGATGTTCCATCGTGTCTGGTTCAGATGATATGACAGTTCGGGTGTGGGATATAGAGACTGGCAAGGCATTGGTTGCCCCTCTTCAAGGGCACACAGACTGTGTTCGGTCAGTTACAGTCTTGTCAGACGGAAGGAGCATCGTGTCTGGTTTAGACGACAAGAGCATCCGTATGTGGAATGCGGCAACTGGGAAGGCATTAGGTGTTCTGCAAGGTCACATTGACAGTGTTCAGTCTGTCGCAATCTCGCCGGATAGAAGTCATATCGTGTCCGGTTCAAATGACAGCACAATCCGGATGTGGGATATTGAGACTGGCGAGGCATATTCTCTCAGTGGGCACTCTAAATGGGTTCGGTCTGTCGCTACTTCATCAGACATAAATCGCATAGGATCCAGTTTGGAGAATGGGACAATTCAGGTGTGGGATATGGGGACTGGCAAGGCATCGAGTGCCCATCTCCAAGATCACACTGATTGTGTCGTGTCTGTTGCAATTTCATTGGATGGAAGTCACATAGTATCCGATTTCTCTTACTGAAGGTTCGGTGGTGGTAGATTTGTTGCTACGTCTTGCTTCCAGCTCGTGTATGATTTTTCTCCAGCACTCTCAATGGTAGTATGTCAATCTTTTACTGACCTCTGCATGCGACCATGGCTCATCATTTCTATAGGACCAAAATTCCCTGGAAGTTCAGATTTATTCTGGATCTGGTCAAATTTTCTTAGTCGGGCAAATGTGTGTGCTGGGACCACGCCTGATTCTTAGCGTTCGAAAATATCACACTGAGCTCGTGGCCGGCTCTGATGCAGCAACCGGCATGACCTCAATCGCTTTCCAAGAGCATGTGCATATATCGACTGGCAATAGTATGTGATGCTCGGTGAAGTTGACGGTTCTCTAGTCTCCAAGGAGGAGGGAAATTTGCTCTTATTTATTTGCGCTTTCGTGATGGCATTGATTAAGTTTATTTGGTGTTTCGAAGTATATTTTAAGGAGACATACAAAAGTTTTCGTCGTAGTAAGTGATTTACTATACACGCTGTCAATGTTTAAACCAATATCCTGTATATCTCTACTGGCACTATCTGCCCACCCACACTTGCATCAATTACTGGTCCTGTGTGATGCACCAGCATTGATTCAGCAAACTGCAACTTTGTCGAGCATTCTACAGGCAACTTCGTCAAAGGAGTAAAACTTGCCATGACCAATTTTCCAAAGTCCTGGTAAAGGCAGCAAGGCCAAAGTTTGAAACACTCGTACTCTAGGTTTGTATACAACACTGTATACTATTGAATACATATGTATCATCTTTGTATACCGTTGACTTCACGACAGTATTATACGAACACTACTTATACATCCACCGCTTCAACATAGATATCGGCATCATGTTCATCCTTCCTCTCCGATATAGAATCTTCATCTCTGGTGGCCGGCGTAAAGTTGGCAACGGGTCCAGTGTACCAATGTACGCCTCCATACACTGGAAAATAATACCAGGAAATCGCCAGAAACATGAACCCTCCAAGTACCACAACCGTATAGTTCATCTCCTGTGCCGTTGTTTGCGGGGTCATGGGAAAGAAGAAAGCAAAGCTCATGAAGGTCATCCACACCACAGCAATCACAGAGACCGGAAAGCTCTGCAGAGGCATGTTAGTTCAAGAATACATTGCGCCGATTAACTCACCAGTTTCCCCAGATAAAACGGACCGGGTTTAAAATCATTCTTGAACACCCAGCGGTTCGTGATCGGTGTTATGTACGCGATATACGATGCGGTGACAGCAATTGTGAATACTGCATCGATGGCTTGGGTGCTTACGAATGACAAAAGTCCAATTGCCAGAGAGCAGATGATTTCGAACCAAACCGTGTTGACGGGTGTTCCTGTGTAGCGATTGATCCAGTACAAATACCGTGAAAAAGGGAGCACTCCATCACGGGCAAATGCAAACGTTTGGCAAGAGCCAGCCAGTAGGCAGTTCGATGCCATGATGTACCTGCTCTATGGTTAGGCTGGGAATATGCTACACGGCACTAAAACGTACTCCGCTATAATAATGAGACACCATATAGCCAGGGCTTTTTGCTGCCCGAGCGAATTGAACAAGATCCACCAACCATGTACATCCCTCCATTCGATACCACCTCCTACTCCACCACCACCCAATCACCCAATCCATCCTGGACATGTGGCCAGAGAGTCGACACCACTCCTGCTGGAAAAGACTGGCTTGGAGACGAATCTGCAGGCTGGAAAGTCTGCAGCACAACAGAAATGGACCAGACGTAGGTACTCCTCCACCTGTTTATCAGCCGTGATCGTGACCGCGATCGACAGCAATCTTAACAAGCTCTTGAATTCAGGCGTTCTACCACGCCCCATGTCACTCGTATCTACGATCAGCGAGGATGGTGTAGGGAACCTGGCACCTTTCAGGTAAGACACGCCTCCATAATCTAATACATTCTACATGCTTACCTGGCTTGCATCCACCAGTTGGTTCAACACAGTGAGCAATGCAACAAAAAACGCGTCCCTCTAATGGTCTAATAACCTTTTCCCATAGGTCATGAACTACCCGCCTGTCATCTCATTCGCGATCAACCACAATGCTACGGGCAGCCTGAAAGATACGACCGCGAACCTGAAGAACGGCCAAGGATTCGCCGTGAACATCATCAGCAAGGCATTCATCGAGAATGCAAATTCAACTGCTGTAGACGCTCCTCCCAAGTTCGACGAGTGGGCTCTCAGCGGTCTGACAAAGGAGAAATGCATACGTGTGGACCTTCATCATTTGATACATGGACTAACAATCACACGTTCAGGTGCAAATAAGAGCCTTGCGTGTTAAGGAAAGCATGGAATGCAAGGTAAATTCATCTCACGCCGAGCCCACTCGTTTGCTGACATCCTCGCCTCTCAATAGCTTTACAAACCGATAGATATCACGCATCCAGTCACAGGTGAGCATAACAGCACGCTCATCCTTGCGCACGTCAAGTACTTCCACGTGCGCAAAGACATGCTCACAAGCAGAGGTGCCGTCGACCTCACAAAATTCAAGCCTGTCGCGCGTGTGGGCGATATTTCATATGCCCGGGTCGGAGATACATACAGGATCCCTGTGCCTTCATGGGCGAAGGAGGAGGGAAAGATACAGGAAGCATTGAAGACACTCGCATCACCATAAAATAGAACGAGGGTGGCTTACCATTTCTGGGGAACATATACCATAGATCATATAGATATCAGCATCCAGGCGGGATATCGGAGTCCGTCGCTATTTCTTATCCCTAAGATAGAGCTTTATAATTGACTAGCAAGCCGTACTTTTCCAAGTGCACATGTTGACTCGAATGCAGACACATGATATTGTCCTCTGCAACCAGCTCAAGAGCAGATGGTGCCTCTGCATGTCAAATTTTGAAATCTTGTATTTGCGAGGGTCATTTGCAGGGTATGTATGATATATGAGGCTATGATAATGTGATCGTCGACGTGTTGTAAAAAAAAACCATTCAGCTACAATATGTCTAGGGTCCTGATGTTAATGGTGTCAATTGAAGCCGGGTCTTTCACCTATGCAATGATATTATGGTCCGACGCGACCCTCTTGTATTCTCCAACGCGTTGCTGCGCTACCAAAAGTGCGCTGAAAGCCTGCCCAAGGTGAATCATCAAACGCAATGATCGTAAGTGAACATCCGAGTCAATCAACAACTCCTCTTCTCCAGGTGAGTTGCTGGACGACTCGTCAGCGTCGTCTGTTCCAGACTCGGACTCGGACCAATCCCCCACACTCTACCCTTCGCCTGTAAAGGTGAGCTGCTCTGAAAAATCAGGCAGCCCAAGGAGACGATGGTCCCATGGACGGACAAGAAAGAATGTCTGCTGAGTGGGCCTTGCACGCAAGAATTGAATTAGGGTCTCGTCCATGGTAATCAGCAAGTCTCGAAGCCCATCTGCTTTCACTCCATACGTGGAATGGACAGTATGACCCCGCTTCCGTTTGACTTCCGTGACCTGGAATGCGATGCAAGGCAGACGGAGTCTGCAGTTTGCGAAGAGCAGAGCATTCATGTTCTCGAGCATGTTATACAACTTCGAAGCTGAATCCACAGGCACAATGTTTCGCAACGAAGAGACCGCTGTCCGAATGTCATCTTCAGACAATGATGGTAGGGAGTATGGCGGGGTTGCATATGAGATGATGTCGGCTGGAAGGCAACTATTGAACTCGGACGATTGTCCGACCCAGTCCAGGGAAGTGATGTCACCCGACCGAGACACAATATTCTGCAGGAGCCGGCCGAGCGCGCTCTGCTTCCTCTCACCGTAGATGACAGGTAGGTGGACATCGAAGATATCAAATAACAAGTACGCAGTGTCTTCCTGCACGGTGGTGACGCGCTTCGATGCCCATTGCAGTTTCTATCTAGCATCTCTCATCCCTGGATGGAAGGAGATCAGGGCCTGTGCATCTATTCCCATCGCACCCTCCAACTCCTTCATGATTGCTTGAGATTCTTTGTGGTTGAGAGAGCGATCGTTGAGATATAACGACCAATCCTTCTGATAAAATCTAACGACTTTCAGAGCGACAAACTCTTGAAAGGTCCATCCCCACTCATTCCAAACACTGCTCGCTAGTGCACCAGGTTGGGATGAAGGAGGGACATCGGATAGGTAGACGATGGTGAGCGCCGAGTGACGGTACCAGACGAACATGGATTGAAGCGATTCTCCGAGCTCGGCATTGTTGCTCTTATCGATGCAGCATGTATCCATCCACGCCCAGAGATACCCCGCATCACGAGCGATTTTGCAGAACGACTGCAGTTTCATGATGCCACCAAGTCCCTTCAACTCGCATACATCTTTATTTTGAATGTGGTGCAGCATCACCTCCGCCTCTTCCCACCTGTGTGATAGCAAAACGCAACAGAAGTGCATTGCCACTACCTCCTTGATGCGTTCCATTTGGAGATCCGAGCGCTTCGTTATGGATGACAAAAGCTCCTTGTATTCTGGACTTGTTTTGAAGGAGTTTAGCTGTGCTGCTCGGTCGCACAAAAGACCCGTAGAGGTGTTGAGCAGACAAAGCGGGGCGTTGTTGAGTTCAATCAAAACTGCTCTTCGAATAGCGTCTTCTGCTTCCGATGGATGTTCCATGGCTTACCTCGTATCTGAGCTTCGGAAGCATCATCCAACTTGGACAACATGATTGTGAAGGCCTCGATGGCTTCTCCGTAACGTTGTGCGCCACGCAGCACTGAGTGTGACAACTGGTACCCAACATGAGACAAAGGATCGAAATCTGTGACCTATGCATCGGCGAAGTCAACATGAGTTACGAAACTCCAGTTACGACCTATGATAGGGGCTGCGATAACGTTAGAACATAAGGGTATAAAAGCACCGGGTCTAACATACCCCGCTGACCCAATAATCACGCAAGACTTTGGATGCAAGGAACCTTGTGCGGAGCATTAGCATCATCAACTTTGCCACGAGTAAGAAAATCCTAACCAAAGAACGAGTTTCCTTCGGAAGAGTGTTTTGAGGAAGTTTGGAACTTTCGGAGGAGTTGGTCGGTAGTACTCGGTTTGGTAGTTAATATTATCCCCGAGAACTTAGATCGATGAACGTCTGTCGTGGGATGAAAATGATTGAGCGAGTTTCAATCATCGTCACATCCCGTTAAGGCGGACTCAAGCGGCATGTTGAAATATTGAGCAGATCCAAGTCTGTAGCACCCGTGGCGCTGCCATGCCTTGTTGCTCATCATAGCTTGATGGCTGAGAGTAGCAGTGTGAAAAAAGTAATCACCTGGTCACCCGAAGAAATAGCCTGAAGTGTGAAGTTATAGATAGAAATTCTGCTCCTCGCCATAATAGATCTGTAAAAGCTAAGTACTGCAGCGACAAACGTTCGAGTATAGCTCCTACCAATGGAACCCCTGGCATTACCAGGTATGTGATATGAGATGCAGATGCAGATCTCAACGTGCCATTCGCCAAACTGGGCCAGCGGAAAACATCGAAATTGCTTGTTCTGAATAAATGCTTCGGATCGGTGAGGCCGGTGTTTGTATTCAAGAAGTCATTGTTCACGAGCATTTGATTCCAAGCAGTGATAAAGTTGGTGTTGAGATCGTACGCGACGGCCAAGTTTCCGGCCAAGTTTCTAAGCTTAGTGGCACCAGCATGAGTTGCAGATGCCAAGCAGTCATGCCGTCGACGGTGAGCTGTGTGGACTTTTCGACACGAATGTCATCGATATCAAGGGCTATGATAGTCATGGAGGGAAAGGTAGTGAGTTTGTCCATAACAAAAGGTTTCCATTCGCGGAGCCGGTCCTGTACGGATGCAAATTTGGAAAGTTCACGTTGCCAGTTAGGGTGCACCCCAAAGGCTTCCATATCACCATATTGATCCAAGTTGGACTCGTGACAATCATCATAGCCTTTTACGAGATGAATTGTTCCATTGTCTTGCCAAAGGACGGGAAGTTGACCAGAGGTGTTACGGATATTGATGACCTAGGGGAAAAAAGATAGTTAAGATAAGTTCAGGCACGCAGCGAACGAAAATAACTACTTATGGAAAAATCAACATATCCTCAAAACCCCAGGGGAGGTAATTTGGTTCGTAGACTGCATCATATTCATTGAGAGTGAATGGGGCGCTGACTTTGAGTAAACTGGTGGGTGTGAGTGAGTGATGATTGTAATTGGTGGATAGAGAGAACAAACCCTTCAAAACCGATAAGGTCGGACAATATGCCGACTGTGAAATCCAACATGATATACATGCTGCGTGCGGGTACTGTGTCGACGAAGTTTACCCAATCATCAATAGTACCCCAATGAGGATCCAATACGGAGAATAACCTAAAAAAAGTGAGTATGAGTTGTAGATGAGATTGAGATAAAGACATACTGTCGGCTTGCCATATCATGTTCAAGAATATTGTGCCTGAGAGATATATGGCCTTCACGCCCATACCTTGGATGTAGTCGAGCTTTGAGGCTAGGCATTTGAGTTCACCGCCAAAGCAAAGAACTGATTGTTTGTAGGGTCACCATCAGCTAATTGTCCATAAGGACTGTGTATATTGGAATCGAGTGCCAATTCTGCGAAGAAGGAGAGTAGGTGGCGTCCGTTCCCATGGTTTAATAATCTGGAGGGGACTGAGCAGATTGGTTTACACTAGCGAGCCTCGTGCGAAGTCGTCTGATTTCATTCCTTCTCGTAGCTTGACTTTTGCGTTTGATGTGCAGAGGATCGACAAGGTGTAGCGCTTGCCGGTGTGAAGCAGGAATACGAAAACTAGACGGTTGCCGTTTGTCTGTGTATCGTCAAATTTGTTGGTATGTGAACAACTTGGAGTTACACTCACGTTGCGCGAGAAGAACAGTCCTGCGCCAACAGCAACGCAGAGCGATGATCCGACTACAGATTCTGTGGCAACAATGCAGAACCGTAAGAGTGCTCTATCGAGACGGTGCATGCCAGTCTTGTTTTTCCATAAGAAAAAGCGACTGTGGGATCACATCAATCAAATAAGGTCTTAACGAAGTTGAAAGCCTGAAAAAGGCTCATGGATAACAGAAAGAATGATATCGATCATTTCAAGAATATAACATCAGTCCTGAACGTAGAATCACTCATATGACCTACCGAGCATCGCTGTGGTCCAATACGAAAATGCAATCATGCCCAGTTAGAAATGCAGTCTTGTACACCAGCAGAGTCAAGCAAGCCTTCAGGTACTATATCATTGCTAGGCTTGGGATTGACGATGCCCAGACATGAAAAAGCCTTCGCCTTAACCTGCCAGATTGACGTCAGATTCAAACAGCAAAAAGATCAAGATAATTGCGCCATACGTGGTTATCGCGAACGCGAACAATACGGCTATCCACCAGCTCCCCTTCGTCACCTAGTACAACCAAAACTTTGAGAGTTTGCGCTGGAGCTGGTACTTGCAATGTATACTCGCCAGCAGCGTCAGAGGAGGAAGAGCTTGTGCGTTCCACTAATAAAACCGTTCAGGAAAAATGCGAACCACGTTCACGGAAACATTAACTAATCCCAAAAAGTCAAACCAGAGATCAACATGATGATACATCGACATACCAGCGTCCTACGGTCTACAACAGACTTCCAAGCTATGTATCCTTCGAACGCCGTCTGTGCACTTTCCCAAGCACCGGACATTAGCACAACGCTCGCGCTAAACCAAACCAAGCACTCACAGAGAAAGCAGGGTAACGAAAGCAATGAAAAGATTATGACAGAGGATATGGCCTTCGTTGGTTGGTTCATCAATCATGACCAGTTCCGAAGATTGGGTCTTTCGTTGCGAATGTGGCTTGGGCGAATAGGATGTGGTGATTTAGCTGTGGGCTGAGATGCAAAAAGGGTCGAGTCTTGTTGAGTTGCCCTTGTGAAGGCGAGGGATCTAGTCCAGCTAAATAAAAATATTGCAGGTATCGCTAAAGCCGGTGTTCTATCAATTTGACCTTCGTGCAGAAGTCACTTCCGTATGCCTAACCTGTTGATAGTTAATTCACGGTATGATGATATGCAATATCAGCCCTCTAAAGCTGCAAGCCTCGCGCGAAGTTGCTCGATTTTGGCGTCCTAGTGAAATAGTACCACCGTCAACAAACGAAGATCATGTTTGCCGAGAATAACCCACTTTTTCTCGGCGAACTCGTTCGATTTCAGCCTGCGCACAAATCTACGAAGACAAGTGTGAAATAGTACCACCGTCAACAAACGAAGATCATGTTTGCCGAAAATAACCCACTTTTTCTCGGTGAACTCGTTCGATTTCAGCCTGCACGCAAATCTACGAAGACAAGTGTGAAATAGTACCACCGTCAACAAACGAAGATCATGCTTGCCGAGAATAACCCACTTTTTCTCGGCGAACTCGTTCGATTTCAGCCTGCGCACAAATCTACGAAGACAAGTGTGAAATAGTACCACCGTCAACAAACGAAGATCATGTTTGCCGAAAATGACCCACTTTTTCTCGGCGAACTCGTTCGATTTCAGCCTGCGCGCAAATCTACGAAGACAAGTACAGATCAACAAACAAAGACCATAGTTTGTTTGCTACGAAAAATGCACCTCTGTTTGGCGAAGTCGTTCTATTTCGGCCTGCTGGTAGACAAGTACCATCAACAAACAAAGACTAAATTTGCTGAGAAAACAACTCACCTGTGCTTGGCGAAACGGCTCATTTTCAACCTCAAACTCCATGTGTAATTTCTGTCGATTCTGCCAAGACAAGTACCATCAAGAAATGGAGTCCATATTAGCTGAGAATAGCACACCTTTGCCTCTTCAGCTTCGCGATGGTGCTTGGTCTGCTCAAGTGTCTCCAACATCTTCTGCCACTCGGTCGGATACGCAGCGCATACAGCCCTGATATCCTCAGTCGGTGATCCTAATGCGACCCCGCGATAACGAGCGCGTGCGCGATGGTTTTCACATTCTGAGTGTCCATCACTAGGGAACAGCTCTTTCAAGCTGCCCCACACTACGCTCGAAAACCAATAGCATTGGTTTTCATACAAATCATATGCTGGCGCCTGGCAGTGTACCAGAGACAGGACCGTGGACACTTGAAGTGCCGAGGGCGCAGAAGATGAAGGAAAGTCGAAGGTACAGAGTCTGCTGTATGGTGCATATCTGGCTTGAAGTTGTGGCGCTGCATCGCGGGGGGAACCATAAATAGATACGGAGTCATACGCGTTGGTGTCGGATGATGAGGGAGAGACTAATTCAGATGATTGTTTGAGGGAACGGCCTTGTCCTTGCACGGCACGGTCTGCAGACACTACAGCCTGAGCGGAGCAGCCATCGACCCAATGGCTAAAATAAAACACGAGGAACTCGTGTTTGGGATGGCCAGCACACTTGCTGTACTCCATGCGTGCCAGGACACACTTTGAGTACAGATTACCCTGTGTTTTGTCCCAAGAATCGGCCATCGAGGAACACCAACTCATAACTGACGCGCTACCGACATCAGGCCCATGTGGACAGTGAAACCTTAAAGCTGGAAGTCCAGGAGGATGCTCTGACATGAATACACGACGGAGGGAGGCTAGAAAACGGCTAATCCAGGAGTGATTTCTTCGGTCTTGTTTTAAGGACATTATAGATTGTCAAGGGTTTGAACATGTTGCTCCAAGGAGAGGTGTCGAGAACATATATATGATACAGCTGCGAGCGGGACTTGCCGCTGGGTCATCTACGTATGTATACATACTTGTTACAAGCCGTCGGCCTCGAGGTTATATGGTGCCATAATAAGGCCTTCCATCATGATACGTCATGACTGTGGCATGCTTTTCCGCGGGCTTGATGCTATTCACATATACTACAAACCCAGATACGGATTCTCATTCTGCTGCAAGTCGTGTATCTAAGATGTAATGGCTATGATCAGGGATTTGTCACATCCACCATCACGACTGTTTTCACAGTAAGTCTATTAATCACTCAGCGAATTTAAAATGTATTCTTACCCCAATATCCCAGACTGTCCCTTCTTTTGGCCTTGCTGCTGTCTCTGCCTCAGAGCGATGGATATTCGTTCAGCACCGCGGTCATGTGTGGCTGGAGGATGTGATAAATGAAGCAACCCACCACATGCTCCTCCTTTTTGCATTTGTGGAATTGCGGAAGATCATACACTAGTCTGGAATGCGCCTATCCAGGTCACAGTCGGTTTAGTCATTCTTTTAACTGAGGTCTGTTCTACGCTACGAGGAGTTCGTTTTGTTCTAACGGCACTCAAATACTAACTCGGGCCGTCTGCGCTCGCTGGTTTCTTGCTATTTGCCCTCATGATCCAAATTCAACAGTGGTTAATGGCACTGCAGCGGCGTATTTGCTTAGGGTATGATTTGACATGTCTTTGCAGGCAAAACTTGACAAAGAGATGGTCAAGATAGTTACTGATATTGAATCCTACTTTCCCAGCCACCCAGACATAGTGTCATTGACATTGATAAGAAGTCCAGTCGACTGCTTCAAAGTCACGTTAAGGTGTGCAGATCATTCTTTCGCTTATTCTTTACTCAATACAATTTCACCGAAGGCACCGTTCATGACTACTTTTCAAGTGAGGAAGGAGCGGGTCAGTATTGATTCTGACCCAGAGTCTCTTTGTATGGCGCACTCGAGAAATGCAAGGAGTAAGATGTTTAGCAACAGGCTATCTTCAAAGTTGGCCGCAACTGCTGACACAACATGTTGTCCTCTAAGTAGTTCACTGCCCTCGCGCATGCCTATTCCGTGCTGTTCGCGCCACTCCCTTAAACACTCACCACCGTGGTACCCGACCAATACTCGATATCAACATACCTCCTACGATGCTACCCCCAATCCTTTTGCACGCTTTCGATGGACTTCGGCTGGGTTACCGCACCAATGCTTATGATCGAGCGCATTCCTTTGGGCAGCACTTCCTCATACACCAATTTGGCATCCTGGTGTCCTACTAGTACTGCCTCCCATATAGAACTTGAATGTGTAGTTTCGCCTCTTCCCGATAATATTTTAATTATGAACTCAAAAATTCATGTCTTTGGTTTACTGAGTGAGCTCGAGGGTATGATATACAAATTATCAAAGTATTTGACAGGAACATCTATGTAAACAGTAGGGTAGTATATAACGAGGTGGAACTGCAAGGAGGAGAGAAAATCCAGGATGCAGTGGAGATCATCGAGCAAAAAATGAGGGTATCAGGTAGTGGTAATTGGTGGACAGAGACAACGAGGATTGATGGGAAGAGATAACGAAGGAAATATCAATGACGAGCGCGGAGGTGGCGCTGGATCTTGACGCGGACGTGCCGCTCGGTCGTGATGCGTGATGTGCTGTTCCGAAAAAAATTGGTGGCGGTGGCGGCATAGCTAGGCTGCAGGTTGAAGAAGCAAGCGCAGAGCTGGTGTGAAGGGTGATGGGAGGGTGTAGAGAGATGGTGGTATTCATGGGCACTAGGATTGGAAAAAAGAAAGGTCAGAGCCCGTGGGTGAAAACCAGGGCTGGAATTGAATTATATCCCCTCCAGGCCACAAAGCGGGAACATTGGGAAGTCCACAAGCTTCCCTCAGAAGCTCGGAGTCGTCATTTCTGAGTGCGTTTCCGCTTGGATGGAAGGGAAGGAGGCGGTGAGCCATCAATCGGACGTTTCTTATGTGAGCACTGGCGAGTGCCTGGCCTTTTATCAGGCCCTCGCCGTTTAGGTGTTGCGTCATATTGGCATTCATTCGAGCGGCACACACAATTATGACACATTGGTCTTGTGGAGTCGCACCGAATTTTCCTTGCACGACTTAGCAACCACGTGAATGAGCAGCCTGAAATAAGAATAAGAATGAACGCACCATTGCCGACAAGCTATCACTTGATTCGAAATTTCCCTGTGAAGCGGATCCTGTGGTGTTTGTGCTGATGGCCATCAGTACTGAAAGAAGGGGATGAGAGTTTAGAAGGAAAATGGTAACACATTGTATGACTTTTTGGTGCTTTGCCACACAAGACTTACATGTAAAACTTGAAGGAGAGCAAGTGTTATGCACTCAAATAGATCTGTTAGGCAGAGCCCTAAGAGGGGCGTCGTCTGCTAACGTTCGTGACGTAACCGGAAGGGTCCGGTATAGCAAGTGAGACTGGCGACGACGAGTCGGCAGCGATCACAGTACGCACGTGTCACGTGACTTCGTAGATGGATGTCTTGAGAAGTCACTCAAGGTCAGGACTGTCTTGTCCGGATGATGAGGTCGATCGAGGTAGACTTAGTCGCGAAGAGCGACTAAGAAAAGATACTAGAGACTGAAGCTGAGGGGGCTTCAGAGGGAAGTATGTTCCAGGGAAGATCGAGTAGATTCAAGTTAGAGAATCTAGTACAGGGTGACCGACTACTTATACTAAGTGGAGAGGGTTAAGGGCAAGGCTACCGCACAGTAGGTAAGGGTAAAGGGGATGCGAATATGGTATAGGTGCGTTGGCAACATAGCCGGATTAGTGATGGATGGTCGAATGTGGAATGAGACCGAGAAACGTTGGAACGGACCAACGGTAAGAATACAACGTGTGGGAATCCGCAGTCAGGGGAAACAGAAAGAGGAAAGCCACATTGGTGGCACGAGTCAGACCGAGTCAGAGGTGCGGGACCACATTGGTGGTCGAATCAGAAGAGGAACGTGCAGTGCACGTGCATAGAGGCGGATGATGCGAGGGACGGGAACTGGTCCCGAGGATCCGGTCAACGGAAAGTCGGTAGAGGAGGAGGAGCCGGTAGGTGATGAGGGCGAGGATGAGAGGAAAATGATAGGGGGGCCACGTGACCGATGTTACTTGTAACAGCAAGTCAAAGTTTGAAACGGGGCATTGCAATTTGTTCCAGCTCATAAATGCCGAACTTCGCTAGACTCGTAACCAGTCTTTACTATTACGTCTGAGATGTTGTTAAGTGTTTTGGCTTCACATCGATGATTGATAGACAGCCTGAGGAGGATTACATAATCGTCGAAGTTACTCAGCGCTTCACCAATCATCAACATCCACTACCCCACTAGTCTACTGGCATCGCTGAGTGGTTTTCCTCTGGCTGTTTTGAGGCTTCCAGCGGGTCCCCGAGTGCTCGGTGCGTCAGGATACTGTTTTGGTATCCGACAAAGGCTGACGCCCTGAGGGGAGCTTCGGGCGCCTGGAGATCACTGTTCTTTTTTCCTCGCGCCATTTTTGCATGGGTCCCCTCCTCTTGCGATTCATTGCGGGTGAATACGGTGCTGTGAGTTGGCAGACAGTAAGCCGCATTGGCCACCTCTCCTCACTGCTCTGATCGCTCTTCTAGATTTAATCCCGCGTCCGGAGCCCATCCACCTCTCCGACCTGCCCGACCCAACCATCCTTCAGTGTGCCATCAACACTGGCATAAGTTGAAAACTTTACTTTCCACAATCGCCAACGATGGCATGCGTGACCCATTTCACCCCCGTCACTGGCCAATACTCGTCCAGCCTCTGCTGAGGGTCAGCTGTGACAGGGGAGGATATCGATATCTCTGCCATCAATGTGAGTATACTTGCCAGTATTTATGGATGGCTTGTTAAAAATGTCAATTCACCAGCTACCGCCATCCGCTTCCCATCATTCTCACTGGTGAGCAGTTGTGCAAGATTCTGGCAGCAGCGGACGACCAGTCCGAGCTAGAAAAGACCTCGAGCATGAATACGAGTATCAATGCTGAGAGCGTATGCGGGGTGTACTTCCAGGAATTCGTGCAGTACCAAGTGAGCCATCATTCTAACGGGTGTAGCGTCAGCGTTTTAAATTCAAACATATCATATTATTTGACAGGGTTCCCACCTCAAAAACCCAACCCCTCGACAATCAGGGAGAATCACATCTTTGGGCCGTCATTTTACCTGTGTTGGGGCATGGATTCGAACTTGATCCTGAAGAGGCCGCTAACATGGCCGGTGGGAACATCTTCTACTCAAGAGGCAAGTATTGCGCTAGAAGAGGGGATCATTGCATTCCGCGGCTGGCCTGTCTTTCATGAAGCTTTGCCCTCGCGATGCAGATCTTTTGCGTGAGATCAGTTCATTGTCAACCATGCGCGTCTGGTATCCCACACATCTTCAGAAGATGCCAAAAGTTTCTTGGTCATGTCTTACATCCCTCGCTCAACACCACAGTTTTCATCCAGCTGCAAAATCTATTATGGACTACGGCATGCAGCTTTCCACTTTCTCAGAAGGATGTTCAGACCTTCATCTTACACTTGATCTTCCCCCATTCACCAACCACCTTCTCGAGCGTGCATCAATTCGTGCCCTCCGTCGAACCTACCCCCCTGATTGGCTTTTAATACAGGTATGCTTCAGAGACAAGTCATTTGTTCACGATTATTAATGATAAGGAACGTACCAATCAGACATGACAAGCCCCTCAAAGCCCCACTCTCGGCGTAGGATGTCTTGCAAGAGATGCTTATTCTCAGAGGTGTGGGTGCCATTGACATGGTTGTACCTAAAATATGACCATGAAGATCAGTACGTGTCGAAGTTCTTCTCCCGTGCTCCAGGAGAAGCACAGTATTTGAAATTGAAATGAGAACGTACGAAGTCATGAAACACCATGGCTTCGCATATTTCTGGGCAAGCATGAATGGCATGAGGTAGATCTCGCGAAGTGCACGTTCGCTTAGAATTGAGTCGTATGCCATACAATTGTCTTCTTTGTCATTGCGCCTATATTAGTCCCGAGTCAACATGGATGGTGATCGGAATCGGATGGTGGGACATACACGAAATGCTTGATTGTAGTTCCAATGCCGCCATTTTTGAACACCTTTAACGTATGCGGCCGCAATGAGACCAGATAGAAGTGGGTCCTCTGAGAGACTCTCGAAGGCCTGAACAATGGAGTACAAAATTAAATGGGATCAGAGCTATCATTCTGGATATGGGACTTACATGGCCACCTAGAGGGTTCTGTAGTCGGTTCTGTAGTCATGAATGGGTGCGCATAGAAGGATGGTAAGAATGCACATACGCGTTGGACATTACATGCCAGGGCAAGAATCACAGGCACGGCTCTGAGCTTGGCCTCGCTTGCGAGTAACTTCAACCTGACTTCCTCAATCAGTTCCGTGTCCCAGGTAGCTCCAAGCGCGGTAGAAGAAGGCAGGCACTTGGCCAGTGTACTCATGAAGAAGTGATTGCCTCTGATACCTGCATATATGCGTCTGGATCATCGTGTTTTTAAGGAAGCAGCGAATCTGACATGCCGTTAGGACCATTGCTAACTTTTATAGCGGGTATCCCAAGGCGAGCGATCTCATGTGTGTGCCAGAAGCCAACACCAGCGGTGAGGAGAATAGCCTCGTCCGTAGTGAGCTTCTCGACGATATCATCCACATCTGCATTTGCGAAATCTGACCACGGCATGATGGGTTTTGAGTCCAAGTGAAATCTGGATTGTAACGACGCGCAGATAGTCTAGCTTCTCACAGGTCTGTGAGTGCTATAGGGATGAAAGATAGGAATGAGCAGGACTTGTCTCTTCTCCGCACTCTCATATTGCTCTCATATATACTGTTCACTAGCACTATCAAGTCCACACGTGACATTTCCGAGATTTCTCCGATACCGAGAATTTGCTGTGTCTCGTATGGAGTGAGTCTGGAGTAGCAGTGAAAACTGCCAAGTCGGCTGTTGGTTTGATAGCAATGATATTGCAATTTGAGGGATGCGTCGATATTGGATAATGGTTCTGCATCATGATAGGATATGTAATATTCCGAATGGGAGTCCTTGGGAGCTTTCTCAATGGGTCGGCGGTAGAACACCATTAAGATTATGCTGGAAGCAAAGACCGCGAGAGATGGGGGATACAGCGACCGCCGGTGGTAATATTGTGGGGATTTGTATTCCCAAGAAGTTTATGCTGTGGGGCAGGTGATCCAGATCTGTCTTGGCTTGAGGGTTTGCATAGAAACATGACAATCCTGCCAACGACAATTGAAATCAGGAAGCCTTCTGAGTTGCAAATGGTGCTAGATCGCGGATCAACAAGCTCATAAAACTAGAGACACGCCAAGGCCGCACCCTTCATGATCTATTGCTGCAAAGGATCACCATGAGGCTTTCAAAGCACGTCGCTCTTGTTTATGCCCTAGCAGCAGGTAGTGTTACTGGTTATGTCTTTCCTGATTGCGAAGGTGGACCTCTAGCAAGCAACGCAATCTGCAACACTGCTCTTGACCCCATTACGCTGGCAACTTCCTCGGTCAAGCTGTTCACTGTTCCAGAGCTGATTAATAATACTGTCAACAGGTCTCCTGGGGTTCCTCGTCTGGGTTTGCCAGCGTACCAGTGATACCCGGTTAATCTCGCCAAAATTAGAACCACATACCACCCGCAACAAATGCTCGACCCTCGCTAAATTTGTTCACCATCCGGATATAGAGGAGGAGGAGGAGGTAAGTCATCCATACCTTTTTTTCCATTGCACTGGCTGACTTCAAACGTTTGTCACCTTACTCTATGCACCTACAGCTCGCTCCCACACTACTTCGTCCATCTCCCGGCTCCATACTACTCAACCTATACCATTCATCTATTCTTCTCACCTTGTACTGCTTGCTTCCAACTCGAAGCTCAGCGTCACAATCTTGCCATCATCCATCCTCGTGTTCACACTTGCTCTCCCCATCTCACACTACCCTGAGATTTCCATCCAATCAGTCTCACTTAAGCTCTGCGCACGGTTTGGCTTCGATATGCATTTCCGCCTTGTGGCTGCAGTATACAACCACCCTCATTCAATATCTCCAGTTGAAGAGGGCAGGTCGTGAGGACTGGACAAAGGTTTCGCGTCATCCACTGACCTACTATACTATCCATACACCCTGGTTCAGCGTCCTCGTGCAGCTGGCGAGCCTCATTCGTGCACCTGCTGTTCTTGACCTCTCCACACTCCTGCAGGATGATCCTACACGCTCATCAGCGAGAACGTGTCTCTCATCTCTGGTGGCCGACTTGAAGCTCAGTGTTTGCAAGTCGCATGCACGCTTGGATGACCTGCCAAGATCCTCATTTTTGACGAGTGTACCTCAGCACTCGATCTAGCCAACCAGATGGCTGTCCTGGAGACGATACTATCACTGGTCCATTGCTCCACAGACACGAAATCGAATTTTTTTCGCCCCCTTCCTTCCACAATTTGTACAGACACGAAAACCCAGATCAAAATAATCAAGGTTGTGTTGTGTAGTACCATGTGCCAAAAGTTCCCTTTTCCCACTCCTTCCCGACTTCTTTCTGGCCTGCCCTCCATTCACCACGACCTCTGGGCACCTCGACATGTTCTGGACTTGTCAAGTCACACACAATGATGATCCTGCGCGAAAAATCACGCCACCCGCATGTCTCCCTTCCAAGTTATGGCCCGAACTTTGTTCTTTGTGGCCTTGCTGGGAGGAAGCACAGGTAAGCTCATCACTTTTTTTCAACGCACTCTCTGACCTCAACTATCTATCGTCCTAATCTACAGCGCCATGTGATGTCCCCGTGCAAAAAATCTTGCCGCCCGCATCTTTGGTTCTCAACTTATGGCCCGACCTTTGTTCTTGTTGGCTTTCCAGGAGGAGGGTAGGTGAGCTCGCATCCTTTTTTCACATTCATTTCTCATACCAATATGTTCAAATCTCACACTAGGTACTTTAATACACTCCCCGCACCACTCATCCATCTGTTATGACCTGATCTTCATCCTGGGTCAGTTACAGGGAGAAGGAGACTTAGGTGACCCCATATCTTTTTCCCTGGCGTCCAGCTGCTGCAAACTGACCCTTTTCATGCCTAGGGACTACCTACACGAACAATTTCGGTCCCCAGGCGTCTCCTTCAATGGTCCACAGCCCCATGGCACTTTCTTTGCCCCCTCCGCATCTTGACTCTCATACACCCATGTGGATCCTGGTGTTAGTCTCACTCCCAATTGTTTTCTGTCGTCGTTCACGTCAATACATCCACGTCTGTCACATTGGGGACTGTTTCTGCATGGGTCCGAAAGTGTTTTTCCAAGTAGGGTGGGTCTTTTCTTGTCATTTCGTCCTTTAGTGTAAATACGATCAAGTATGTCTCTACTTGACATAATGTTCTTAATGCCATATTCATTACCTCATAGACTTCTGAGACATCGACTAGTTCTGGCTTTGCTACCTCCGTCAATCCCAAGGGTACCTCATGTCACTCAATAGCGTCGTTCTCAAGGCTGTGGCCAAGTCGGCGATACCAGGCGCACCCCCATTCTTTGTGACTTTCTCGTCAAGTCAAATCCTAAACACGCCCCTGGTTATATTGCAGCTGCATGTCTGGAAGAACATGCTGGCCGTATACTGCAGGGAAACTCATACAAGCGGGTTCTGACATTTGTTTGGTTCCAGCCGCTGCTGGGATGAATAAGGTTTGTCTGAGTTTGAAATCTTGCTCATGCGTTACGCAGGTCTCATCAATCCTGCACCCTCAGAGTCTCAGACAATCATCACATTCCTTTGAATATATGGTGCGAAAACCTGTTCACTGGGTCTTACGATCCCGCCGTACAGGACTCACCCTAGTGTCGGACCTGGAGTCATGGAAAAGCCATATGGGCACTGGGCAGTATATTGTAATTATCATCAATGCTACTGACAACGCTCATCGCATCGCATATCTTACAACCACTGTGTACGCCTCTGGCAGCATCCGTTCACCACTTGCCCTCCATCTGAACTCCAATTGATAGATGTTGTGTGTCCCATACTGACCAAGGTAGTTATTTTGACTTGCGTTGGAAGGTCTGTTGCTTAGGCGCAACAGGGAACACGGAACTATGAGCAACAAGAGTTCAGTGAAACATTTGCTATCCGACGGTATACTCAGGCCGCATGTAACCAAGTCGAAGTCGGCATCATGTCATACAGGGGTCTCCTCCCTAAAGCAGATTGGATGGATACAAAACGAAGTAGTCACACACATCGCTGCCAATCATAATGACGTTTACCAGATGAACCAGGTTTATTCTCGGTGTTATGCACCATCCGCGCAGACACATGGATGCAGGCGCATGTTGAAAGAGGTGGATGCATATTCATATTGGGCACTGGACAAGCCGGACCGGCGATTGGTAGATCTATCTTGATGGCGCTCTCATCGACATCAGGTTGATCACACTTGAGCACTTCTTGAGCCTGGTAGATAAGACGCCATTAACAAATTGATCATGATAATCAGAGAACTGTGATACCTCTGTTGCGTGCAGCTGTTCTACTGGATCCCACAGTGTGCATTTGTTCTTGTTGGCTAATGTATTAAAAGTTTTGAGGTTCATGACGAGGAAGTTGCAGTGTTGTGACTCACATTTACATGTCCGAAATGTTCGTATCCTGTAATGACCTCCCGGCATATAATAGCATGAGACAGTTTGACAATTTGAATAAGTCATCTTGCTACACTGAGGCACGTGGTGAGCATGTAGTCTCTTCACAGAAGCAAAAATGGCTTACACTGTACTCTTTTATAAATGCTGTGTGCATCCATGATCAGAGCTGCTGATTGGCATAGTTGGTGAGGACAAACCTTTCTGGCACTTTGGACAGTTTCGCATCAGTGCACGAGCTGGAAAATTTGTCAAAACAAGTCGTTGATGATTATCATACGAGCGTACTCATCACTTCCTCAATGATGTGCTGCACATCAATCTGTTTGTCCGATTCTACTTCTCCAGAGAATCATCAGTGCAACTCAATGAATACAGACTCGAAATGACCCTTGCAGCTCTTCGGTAAATGGTCCTAATGAAAACGATAGGAAAAAGGACCCTTCAAAAAAGTTTGGATAACGTACAGGCTTCTTACACTCTCGACAGCTCACCGCACCACAATCCACATTCTCACACCAAAAGACAAAAGAGTTTCTCCATCTCGTTCTCGATCATGCACTTATAATCGCAGAAAGGACATTCCAAGGCCAGCAGCCTCGATATCCTTGCGCTGCCTCACGCGATGATACAGTTCAAGCAGTTTTGGCGCAAGAAAATGTCCCTGCTCCGACTGTGAAAAGAGAAGTTTGCATCCGGACTGATCCATGCAGATGATATTGGGATTATGCTCACCCAAAAGGTTGGATGCGTGGGAAGACATGCAACTTTTGCAGAACAGATGCGCTTCAGGACACTGCACCATCTGGTCCTACTAACAGGGTTAGATAGTGCTCATGAGGTGAATGAGGAAAGCAACGAACAAATGCGTATGAAGAGAAACAACACCCGCATTCAATACTGTCTTCGCATTCTTCGCATGCATCACTGTCGTTTGTTTGATCAGGAAGTGGCTGTGCTTCAACAGACACAGGTGCATCCAGTCACTGCAAAAGCCATTGTCGCTCTGCCTCAAATTCGGGGTCATGCCTCTCTCTCCCTTTTCCATTGATTCTTGAGGGGACGGATTTCGGGATGTCGCATGGTGGAGGATCGCGTTGTAGAAGAGGAATGGGAAGTGGGTGAATATAGGTGGTGTGAGATAACTCAAGTAGTCCTCGATGAGCGAGATATACGTCGGCCCAAGGGGATTGCTACTGAGAAGGTTCCTCTGAATGTATATTTGGAGGGAAACACTGGACCGGGCGCTTGGTCAAGCCTGGTAAGGCGCGCGACAATGAGCGAAGCACGAGCGAGCGAAAGCAACGTGAAGCGCTGATGAGCGATAGCGGCCGATGATAGATGTTGACGCGCGACTTATAATGGAAGCGCGCGCTTAAGCGGAAGCGGTGCGCGTGCGGGTGGTGGAGCACAGCGACTCTTAATGAGTCAGAATACTAAGGGACAGAGTTTCTAGTAATGTACAGCGGCGGCGCTCATATTGTACTTAGATACTTTAGAGTTTTTAAAGGATAACTTAGACTTATAGTCCAATGATGTGTGGGTAGAAAAAGATACTCATTACACAGTTTATGCGCATCTATATATACTAAGTAATGTTAAGCGCTGTCAAGCGCTAAAGCGAACCAAGAAGCAAAGCGGACGCGAGATAATATGTAATAAGGGTCCATAACGGAAAACATACGAAATATGGCCATAAGCGCCGGAGATATGTTAGAATCAATGAGAATAGAATCGGAATACGCACCGATGAACCGAACGGACATGGAATGGATGGACGGAGGACGTGCGACGGAACCGAGGATGCGCGCGCCGATGCGTGACTAAGGAGCGACTGGAGCGCTGGCGCTTGCGAGCGGCCGATGAAGCGCTTGAGCGTGCTGTGTGAGATATGAGTCATGCTATATTGGGAAGTGATAGTGACAATGGGGATTTAGATCCCTGCAAGC